TTTTTTTTTTTGTTTTTTTTTTTTTTTTTTTTTTTTTTTTTTTTTTTTTTTTTGGTTTTTCAACTATAAGTTGGCTAGTGACAATAATTTTAAAAATTGCTGCGTGCTTTACGACTGTGTAACGGTATTACTTCGCCGTTGAGGGAGAACTTTTACGTTTTTGTGATCTAATTTTGTGAAAAAACGTAAAGATGAAAACTACCGTTCTGAGCTGTAAAAATTAGGCTAAAAACAGTAAAAAGTCCCCAGTCGACGGAACGACACCTGCACCTCGCAGTGCTATGTATATGGCACTGTCATTTTTATGACTTTTTTTCTCTCTCTCTCTCTTTTTGCGTACAGTCACTAAAAAACTTAACGTCAAAATAATATTTGCTTTTTATACGTACGACGTTCTCGTACATCCAAACGGACACTCGTCGCGCAAGTCGCGCAAGGAGGAACAAAAAAATATCTTCTCACTTGCAAAAAATGACGCATATATACACTCAGGTGTCCTCGAAGAAGGAAAAAAAATCAAAAGTAAAAGTAAAATAAATTATACGCGCAGCCTGTTCAAACGCATCTCGAGAAGCGCTAAATCTATTTCCGAACGAATGAGCCTCGTGAAAGGGGCGCCGCGCGCACAATACACCCACGGAGCGTGGCCAATTCGAAAACAGACACACCCTCGTATTATGTCCATAAAAATCTCATCCGTGCGTTGCTACACGGTTACCTGTACGTCATATCCTCCGAGGGACGGGAAAAAAGAATCGAGTGGACGAGCCTCTGTCGTCTATGGTCCCTCCCCCGTTTCCGCACGTATACATAACATAATATACTTCTCCTCCCCCCTCCTGAACTCCATATTGTATACTCTTCGACAATACCTCCTCTTTGCCCCTGTACACTATTACTTTGTATGGTCCATCCGTGTGACACAATATGAGTTGCGTGTCTCTCGCAAAAAGATGGAGGAAGAGGAGCACAGAGTAATGAAAAAAAATGGAAGAAGAATCGCGCATTGAGAGGGACTGATATTATATATATTATACGTGTACCTCGATGCATTCGTCGCGAAAAGAGAGTCGCATCGAGTGGCCCGTCAGAATAGTAATAGGATCTCAAATACGTGGCTCTTGAACTTTCGGGACGAGCGTATACCCCACTACTTATATTTTTCCCTCCTCCCTTTTTGCAGAGTAGCCGGTACGAAACAAGCAGAAAAAGTAATAAGTATAAAAATAAAAGAAAGAAAAAATTGGGGCACAAAAGGCGAGCGCGTGCTCGGTACAGGTCGTGTGTATACCATCGAGACGAAATAATGGGAATTTGTCGGAGTCCGCTCGGGTTCTGTGCGTCCACGTCCACCCTCTCTCTCGCCCCTATTATTATTCACTCCCTTGCAATGACCAAAGCGAACAAGACGGCATATACGCATGGTTGAGCTATTGTGACCCCCATAATGAAGCTCCAAGTACAATGGGCACAAAACGCGCGCTTTCGCGAGAGAGCATGGATAGGGCAACCCGATCCCATTATACAGTGTACGTACAGCGTGTACACCAGATGGGTAATCAGAATTTTTTTTTTAATTTATTTTATTTTTCTTTATTTCTTCTCTTTTTGTCCTTGTGTGTTTTTATTATGAGGTTGAGAGCGAGATTTTGGTACAGCTCAAGTACACCTCTGTATCGGTTTCGACCCACGCCTCGGGAATTACATTTACATTTCACGATGTACTTACCTATACAAGAGTACACATATACCATGTTCAGATCGGAGCACACGCGTCGGAGCACAAACATATACGTGCACGATTTGTCCGTTGAGCTCGGACGATTTTTCAATGACATCTCATTTCTCTGCTTTGATTTATTAGCCACGCCGTGCACGAACGTTATGCGCACCGTTTCATGCTATTTCTATTGCAATGGTGTTGCAACAGCGCCACTTTTTTCACGAGTTCACCATCACAATCCCATATAATTTTGCGTGGCTTAGCCACTTACTGTATAGAGACACTTGCGTAATTATGTATAGCCTTTTATAACCGTAAACTTTGATGCTTTATTCGGTGTGACCTAAGATATTACATTGGCAGAAGTTGGAAGCGGGTGATGTCACTGTAGGCAAGCCTTACCGATCGACTGAGATGATACACGTGCATGGCGTCCGTAACAATGTCCTTCTTGGCATAATCTATGAAACCCAAGTAATGAGATACTCTGGTGTATATTGAATGTGACCCTGTTTCGTTGCAACCCCGCGCGTGGACGCTCAGCACCCCGATTATCGTATCGTTGACAACCAATGAGCTACCTTCGTCACCCTATGTATACCAAGTGCACACTCTATCGATTATTCGTTATTTATTACAAGATATGCAGACTTACCTTACACGTTCCTACGTTGGTCGTGGATTTCGGGTTTGGCTTACTGACTTGTCCGCAAATCATTTGATCCGTCGCCTCGACGAATAGCTGATGGTTTGTGGTGCATTTATGTCTTTCGAAGACCGTCACGTTAGCGTAATTCAACTTGTGTGTCTTTTGAGGATTCAACCAAATCCCGTCCCTGGAGTAATAAAACCCGATACCGACTGCCCCGTGGCCAGATATCATCGCGGGACCAGCGTACGTATACTTTTCTCGGGGCAAGTCCAATTTTCTCAATAGCGGATTCGATTCGAGTTCCAAACTTTCCTGCAGCTGAGAGAAATCATGAGACTTTCACCCCCCCCTCCTTTTCACGTTTTTATACTTGGTTTGACAATGACCGTTTACGTCTCACCTTTAGAACAGAAATGTCATCCTTAATGGCGCGACTGTTGAAATGCGCCTTGAGTAGATAAATGTTTTCAATGTCGATAATCAAGACGACCTTTGACCTTGAATCTACCTCTTGGGTAACGACTTTGTACGGATCTTCCTTAAACTTACGGTCTTTAACGAAGCAACTGGCAGCTGTGAGTACAAAGTAATTGCCAATGATACCACCACCGCAAATGTGTACATTGTTCACTTGTATCGCCACTTGGTACTTGAAGTCGCCTTCACTAGCTTCAGCACCGCCAATTATTCCTACAACTGAACCATTTTTAAGATGATTAATTAATTTTACATTGGATGATATTTCATTGTAAGTGCATTCAAAATCAATTGGTTCAAATGACAGAGACTCTCGTGCAATACGATACTTAACTGAGCACCTCAAGTTGAATCGTAACGCAAATGGGCTAAACGACACGCATATAATACCACCACGTAAGACAAATTCCTTCTTTTCAGTGTTTTCAAACACACGATTTTTTTACACCTTTGTCTATGTATAAGATGGGATTGAAGATACGTTTTGGCCTTGGCGCGTTGTGAATAACGAGTATGTTTTCCAATTCTACGCGTAAAACGATAAGACCACTGCGCGCAAAACCGCCAAAAGTATAATGATCGTCACAATTTGAAATTTTATTGTACCGTGTGGTTGTTCGCACTTACCTGGTTTGACGAAAAAAACAAAGTGCCATTGGAACTGCAGTAGCAGCACGTACACGCAGTTATTCATCATTACAGAAACGTGTAGGAAACTTGCACGTCCGAACGCTCAGCTTATCGCAAAACTACTAAAGCTGTTGGAAAATACTTCTATTATCTATTGGCTTCGAGTGAGCCGTTGGAGGGGTTAAAAAAACGAGTTCAACGTCTTGTCAGGTGGGAGGGAAAAGTAAAGATTGTCAAGCATGACCATCCGAATCGGCTGATAATTTAAAACTCAACTCTAATTTGTACGAATTGGATGAACTTGATAATCACTCGTTTTTCTGGATTTCAATGACTGAATTTGTTGGATACAACTGAAGAGTGACGATACTGAACAAAACACAAGTAGTAAAGCGGACTAGTAAAGATAAGACAATTTTTTACATGAACTTTTAGTAATTCAATTGTCAATTTATTTATGCGTGTTTACAAAAGTGATGATAAAGGAGACAAGATATATTATTTATTTTAGTGCTTCTCGACTAATTCGTCATTGGTTTCTAAGTACGGGGTGAGCGCAATTTATTATAACGAGTGGAGTAAACGAGTTTCTTATTTTTGTCTGCACCCAATGTATGGACTCGCACGTCGCTGGTAACGTTGTTTTTTCTTACGCTGTCAATGAAATCCAGGTGAGACGCCACTTTCACGTAGATCGAACGTAATCGGGTTTCGTCGCAGTTTTGCGTGTGGACGACCAACACTCCGATTATTTTGCTATCAACGACTAATCCACTGCCCCTATCGCCCTGTAAATTACGTACATCAATCGATGAACCCTTTTTTTATCGTTTTATTTATCGTTTAAAATTGTTTATTCGTACCATACACGTGCCTCCGTATCTAGAAATGGCGATTGGTCTGACTTGTCCACAAATCACTTGGTCGGTTATCTGTAAAAACGGGCCACTGTTTCTGGTGCAGTTGGACGTGCCGTCAAACACCGTGACATTGGCGTACCGGAGATGATCTGTTTTTTCGTGGTACTCCGTGGTCCCCACTTCATCCTTGATGTATCTGATACTCTTTACTCCGAAGCCACACACAACGGCATCAGGACCCGCGTATTCGTAGTTCTTTTGTGGTAAATTTAATTTTCCAATTTGCGAATTGAATTTAATCAGATTTAAACTACTCTTCAGCTAGAAAAATGTAAAAAAACTATTGTGTGTGTCATGCAAAAGAAGTAGTGGGCTCATTTTTTAATTTTACCATCACAGCAGCAATATCGTGGTCATTAGAAAGTAACCCATCCAAATACTTTACAGGCACGTAAACTTTATTTAGGTCACTTTTAAGGACATTGATTGATTTTAAGTTTACTTCTCCAGCCACAATTTTGTATGGAAGATTTTGAAATTTCTTGTTTTCGTAGAAGCAACTGGCAGCTGTGAGAACAAAGTAATTGTCAATGATACTACCTCCGCAAATGTGTACGTTGTTCACTTGTATGGACACTTGGTACTTGAAGTCGCCTTCATGAGCTTTAAAGCCTCCAATTATTCCTACAACTGAAAAAATTAAACGATAATTTTGTCATACATTTTATTCTATAATATGCGATGGTAAAAGTCTTTTGTTAAATATAACTTCCGCATTGCATCATGTTACTTGTCTAAATAGGGAGTGGCACATTACACATTAAGCAGTGAGTAATATAATGAGTGTTAGGTTAGTTAATAAATAATCTTTTAGGCTTAACATTTAACTTTTTTTTTCTTTTTAAACTCGCTGAATTTATTAGTGGTATTGAAATGTTGTATCCCTTAATGTAAGATAATGTTGATTCAACTTTAGTACCGTAGAAAATGCACAACTATTCAGCTTAATGCTATGAGAGAAAAATCTTACTTTCATTCTGAATCGATTAATTGATGGTTATTGTATTTTCACGTGATTTTGTTGAGATTGTTACTTTATTTCTACAGACGATGTATGTATAAAATATACTTACCCGGATTTATAAAAATAACGAAATAGAGTTGAAACTGAAGTAATAATGGGCGTAAAAAGTTTATCATTTTTCAAATATTTAAAAAATTTGGGTCTTAGCACTTTGCTGATTGTATTGCAACTAAAGTTGTAGTACGTTTTGTCTTCACCAATATATTATTTCCACGCCAGCTATTAAAGGGAGTAACATGAAACGATTATAGATGACGGCATGCGTCGAAAAAGAACAAGTTCGATTGTAGTTTGTAGTATTGTAATATTAGATAGTGAATTTTTTTTTTTTCTTAACGTATCTTATTTGAAAACTCTGACAATGCAAATTACTTAGTATAATTATGTAGTATATTTTTTATAATTGACAAATTTCCCTGGTAGAAAAAGTTGTACTTTTAAAATTTTTGAAAAACACATTGTCTAAATTTTGAAACAAATTACTTATCTACTTTTTAGAGAATAAAAAAAACCTTAAAAAATTTTTTGTCAGACACATAAAAAGGACGTTTTTCTGTAGGATTATTTTTACTGATTTATTTATTTGTTTCCCAGTACAGATCAATTTACGATCTTTTTACTTTCCCGACTATTTTTCGCCTCTTATAACTAAATAACATTCCATTGCATTCCTTCTTTCGCTTTATTATAACATCATATATCACCATTTCCATTACGTAATTTGGTTTTCTGTCACTATTTATCTTATTTTAGCCCTATCACCTAATGTCGTCACCAAGTATTCTATTATTCTACTATACTTTTAGTCTTAGTCTTCTTGCTCTGTAGGATTATTAATATTGATATTAGCTTAGATGATTACTCAAAGTTATATCATACCCTAACAATAAAAATAGAAAAATGAAATCAAGTGACGTCAACCTATTCGGGATGTCAATATTGATGTCTCTATACTAGTTATGATTATGAGTCAAATAAAATTTATCAAAAATCGAAACAAAAGTTTTTGGTTGTATTATAAAGATATACTTACTAAAAAAACACTGGGTATTATTATTTATGAAACAGCTAATTAATTACATTATTATCAGGCACGAAGTATACAAATATAATGTTTTCATCAACGGAGTCTGCAGGTCGGAGATTATATAGTTATTTGTCGTCTGGACTGCGGCAGGTGTAAAATAAAATAAATTGAATTCAATTGCACGTAAATTGAATCGCTTCGAGACGAAGTGCATAATATTTTGGTACTAGTATTTCAATCAAAATAACTTTGAACGAGCGAAAGTATCATATTCATGTATCATATATAATTCAGATTCAACATTGTGTTCACAAAACGTTATCAGCGGCTCGTTCTTTGTTCTATCGATTACATGCCCGTGCACAGATCGATCAATCAAGTATACATACAGGCTCATGTACGACGAGGAACATGGATTTTTTTTCTCGATCGGCACCGACCGATTTCCATTCTCGTCCCGGTAAGGTACTTCATCCGATCTTGCAAATCAATGTACCATCGAGCTGTGCACGTATATATATTGTCAAACGCCGCATCTTACCTCACGATTAAGATTCACGTATGGGAAACTGCTCTGCCCCGGCGTGACCTGACCCTCTCAACTTTCCTTTCATTTCCTGCATCGCAGCGATAGTCAAAGTCTTTGCTCGAAGAATGCGAGAAGTGCACGTACGTATATCTATACATATGGGTATACATGTAGAAAGTTGCGAAGGGAAGGGTAGTATGCATTATAATATTATTATACACCCACCCAACTTGTAGCTCCGGTCCGGCTGTTTGCCAACTGGCGCGGAATTTATTGGCCCCCTCGGTTTTAATTATATAGAAAAATTCGAGCGCGTTTGGAAAGTTTGGGGTTGCGCAACATCGGGAGTCTGGCTGGATTGTTGAAATGAAATAATCGACGATCGGATTGTGGCAACTTATTGCTTGCCCCGTGTCTCGAGTCGAATAATTGATAAAATTGGGGTGCCATTTGGCCATTTTGTATTGCGATTAAAAGTCAATTGAAAAAAAAAAAAAAAAAAAATTTCCAATCAAGAATCAAGGCGCAGATTATTTCGCAAATTGGCCGCCACATCCTGGAAGCACTTTTTGGTCCGATCGACGAACGTCACGCGATTCTAAAATCAAGATGCTTGGGCTCCTTCGCGCGCAGGTTTCCCCCCAATTATAATCCCATAAGCCGGCGGAGCGTCTCTTGCGAAAATACACAATAATAACCGCTCGAGGCGAGAAAGAGGGAGCACAAAAGGAGAGAGAAGTCAGAAGTTTATTTTAGGCTAAAGACAAGTAGTCTATGGTAGCCAGGACGAAATTATACATTTTTCAACTATATCAGAGACAATAATAGTTTACAAAATAAAATATTTTGTTGAGAGTAACCATCTTTCAAAGAATAAGAATTTTAAAATAAATTAATTTCCGGTCCACAGGCGTTAGACCTAGCCGCCCGACACTTATTAATCACATCCTCAGGCCTCATATGTCGGAAATAAAACCGGTCGTCTGGCGCGATCCTCGCTAACTGCAGGCATGGGAGTAATCCAGTCCCCCCCCCCCCCCGGACCAATGAAGTGTTTGTTCAGCTCCGTCGGGTCAATGGGCAAATGGTGTTGCATACTCTTTTGCCTTGTAAATCCGAGTGAGTTTATCACCCGCCACTTCTCCGCCGCGCTCCTACACTCCCGAAAGCGGCGTCGGTGGTACGCCCTCACCGCATCTCTGATCTCCATCTTGACCCTGTTTCGCAGATGATTATACCTGGTTCGGGAATCGTCAGAGCGGCGCCGGCTATGGTCTTGCCAAGCCTCGTTACGGGCCCTGATCAGCGATCTGATCTGGGGCGTTATCCACGACTTGGGACCAGCAGTGATCCTGATGTCTCGGATGGGGCATGTCGATCAAGTGCCCACTGCAGCTCCCGCACCAGAACATCCACATCCAGACTCCCGTACGAGCGGCGCCTCACTTACCTCGTTCGGTTAGAAGGCATTTCATACTCCAACTCCACCACAAGTGCATCGTGTTTAGAAATCCAAGGAAGCTGTGTCTGCGTGCTAGCTCTTGCTAAGACATAATATATAGTCAATTGTGGACTCGGAGGCCCCCCGCTGTGGTGTGTAGGACCGTAGGGTACTCTTTCTGTTTCCAATGTCTGCAGTGACTGCTTGAGCAGGTTGGAACTCGTACGCGAGCAGTTCCACTCGATGTTTAAGTCACCCATGACGATGAGCCGATCGTAACCCTGGTTGCATGCCACGATGGCCTCCTCCACGTCCTCCCAATAGCCAGCCTTTGGAGGGTTGTATACGACGACGCATAAGAGGATAATGCATTGAAGCTTAATACGGATCAGCAGAAATTCTGGTCGCTTTTCATAAATTGGTCTCGATGATGATGCACCAACAATCCTTCCTACTCTGCAGCGAGTCACGGACATATACAGTCACTCCACCACGACCCAGAGAGAGAGAGAAAAGAACCGCAGCCGAGTTGAGTTTTTGAGGATGAAGGGAAGATGGCCAATGAAGGAGTTGGTGGTGGTGGGCTCCGAAACACGTCTCTTCTTACGTCTCGAGCCGCCGATGATCTCCTTCCTTTACCTCCGCTCGCTCCTCCCGATAGTATAACCCAAGCTTTTGCGGCTGCCTTTTTTTTTACCCCCCCCCCTTTTTCCGCTCTGCTATTCTTTGCATTCTATACATACATGGGCGTTTAGCTCGGTGTCGGTTTCATTAGGCGCATTATGATGCATCCTTTGCGTAATCGTGTTTCATACTCGGTCGGACGATCGATGCGCGAACCCGTTTTGTACCGATTTACCATTTTTATTTGGGTACCATTTTTTTCTCTTTTTTCATCGATTGCACGCAAATTGCACATCTGGGCCGAAGAAACATCTATACCATGTACAATAAAAGTGTCAACGAATCCTGAATGAAAGTAGAGACATTTTTTTGTCAAAAGTGTATAGGACCAACTAATAATAATCGATGGACCGTGGTGGGAAAAAACAAAAGAAAAAATAATAAAGGGGGGTCAACTTCATCACGACCGTCATAATCTTCCTTTTTCTCTCCTCCGCAATATACCTTGGGCGCTTGCTCCTTGATGTCATCCTCGCATATCCTCCTCCTCCTCCTCCGAAAAAGAAAAGAAGAGAAGCGGCCCGCTTCGGAGCCATTGAAACACGCCGACTGCGGCGCGCCGCTACACACACACTCACACACCGAAGAACTGTACCACATGGCGGCGGCTCGCCTGTTATGTAGTATTATATATACACGCGCCTGTGCGTTGCCCTCCTCCACCGTCGCGCGGTTCGTTACTCGGTCGCTTTCAGCAGTTTTCAGTACCTTCACGACCGGCGAGGCGGGTGGAGGTGCGCGCTCTCGTCCTCTTCCTCGTACACCACTTTGCGGCTAACTTCTGTCTTGGCGATTTGCAAGTTGTTTTGTTTGTTTCTGTTGGTGTCATCATATATTGCCATATTGTGCGAGAATAACAGAAGGGTGCTTTCGTTTGACGTTATTGACGATCTCGATCGGTGATCGGTAAGGTTGTGAATGGATTTTTCGTTGGAAACAACGCGATGTGGTCGATTGACACAAACGGTTTGAGGTTCGGTCTCGAAAAACTGGAAACTCTGCAGGTGTGACGAACCGATCGAGGAAAAAAAATCGGTTTGTCCGATAAAACGTGAACAATCGAGTGGTCGCGAGGGACGTCAACGTCTCACGCTAAGGGCACACAGTGTATATATCGTCAAATGTAGCTATGGTCAGGCCAACGTAATAACATAGATCCATAGGGGACGATCACTGCGGATCCAGAGTCGATTTTTCGGTCAAAGTCACTCGCAACAAGGCATGATGACGTCGAGGATACCGGGGTTGATCGCGCTGTTGTTACCGATCGCGGTAGTGATCGGTAGGGCGGAATCTTGGGACGATGCCGGTCATCAGGGCTCGAGCGCCAAGTGCGAGAAGCTCAACGTGCCGTTTTGCGCTGGACTGAGGTACAATCTCACCGCCATGCCCAATTTCATGGGCCACGAGGACCAACAGCAAGCCGAAAGAGGGGTGAGTGTTTTGTTTCTCTCCGTATATAGGTATACATATATATATTCGTCTGTCCTCCCCATACTTACTTTTCTTTGCTCGGCGCTTATTCTTTCTGCCGTCTTTGCAAACTCATTGCTGCGGTCCTGCTTAACGTTGCATTGTAATGAGGTTGAATGAACGAATTCTCGGTAACGGGTTCAGCCTTTTTTTGTCGAGTGTTGCCCGATACAGCCAAACGTTGCATACATACCCGCGCTGGGCAAGATCATCCAATGACGTTTCGCAATCGCGTGCGAGGGCTCTGTAAATCCAAGCGTGTTTAGAAGCGCATGTGTGGTTGAAATTTGCCATTTTTTTTATAAAACGCATAGTTTAGTACTAGTGTTGATAAGAATAGTTATGAAAAAAACCATATCGATGGTGCCCTTATTGTTTCAACATTTTTACTATCCACTGGATACCTTAGAGTGCAAGTTTGTTGCTCCCTGTGCAGTAATCATTGAAGAAAAGTTATTTTGATCGTGTACTGTACAGGTACTTCAATACATTTGAATTTATAATAAAGTACGTGGTTGTAAATGCTATAAAAACACGAAGTAACAGCTATGTGTTGTTGCTTTTATCCCAAAAATCTACTCTATAGTTATATGTATGTACATATCGTACGCATGTGATGATAATTTTTATCCTCGTCACTGAATCGGCGGTTCAATGAAATGAAACGCTACGAAGTTGCCTACGGTCATCCGTGCCCGAAGCAAATAAAATTAAAATCAAGCACGTCTATATACCCGTTCCCAAATACGAGTTTCCGACCCATCGGCCACAATTCACACAACACCCGTGCCATCATTACCGACGTGGCCCTTGGATGAGCAATAAAATTGTACATGTGTATAAAAAATGTTTTTTCAGAACAAGCAAAAGTGTACAAAAAATAGAACCACCGACGACAGAACAATATTGCCCCCCCCCCCCCAAGCTCATATATATACGTGCAATTAGAGTCAGTTGCATGTATACAATCATACGTAAAAGTTCACGGAAACCGCGGACCCGCGAGCAATCAGATTGCAACTCTGCGAAACTCGTTCCTTTTCTTTTCTTCGATATTTTCCAGCGCACACACACACACACACACACACGTAGGGGGTAGCAGTAAAAAAAAGGGCACAAAGAGGAAAAAGGCTGTCTCCTCGCGGCGATTCAACGCACGTCAGGCCCCGCAAAAATCTCGCGGTCGCGCTATAATACATGCACACGATATACACGCAATAAGGAAACATGTGCTTCAGTACAATAATATATTTATACTTATACGCGAGTAAAAAAGAAATATATATATTTATTTCCCTTTTTTTTTCCCCTTTGCTTCTTCTGGTCTGCAGTGCATGTACATGTAAATACACGCGGTCAGTTTGCATTAAAATCGCCCGCTCTCTCTCTCTCTCTTGTCCTCTTTGCTTTTTCTTATATTCTACACATAGATGTATACACACACTTACACTCGAATTAACCACACACGAGAGCAGAGAGGCTGAATCGAAGAGGAGTGGAAGAAGAAGAAGAAGAGGGTGGGTGAGGGGGTCTTCGATCTCTTGGAATCTCTCGCTCTGTCTTCGGTATATATATACATAAAAGAAAAGGATGAGGCGCGTTTGATCTCTCGGCGACTCTCTCTCTCTGCACGGGACAGGTATATATATATAAGGGATATCTCTCTTTCTTGGCTGAACCGTATTATGTGCGCGGCACAAAAAACGCAAGGTGCACTCGTCCATACTAGGGTACATTAAATTTGTACTCGTGTACGTATAGGATATACAATGTACGTGCCCACGTTATAGCTCCTGGGTTTGTTTTTTCTCCCTTCGATCGATCCGTACGCCATGATGTAAAAATACCAATAAGGATTTTCTTTTTTTTTTTTTTTTTTTTTTTTTTTTTAAAAGGGAGAGGGGCTTTTTTTTTTTTTTTTTTTTTTTTTTGTCAAAGGAGCAGAGAGTCTCTTGGTTATAAGTACATCGCAGACGTCGAACTCTTTGACGGGATAGTTGAGCTCGGATAGGTAAGGTATGCGGACCTTTGAGACATGCACCGCGTGCCTATATATACACGCTAGAGCCAAAGGGAGAGGGTCGAAATGAGAGTACGGCGACGGTATAGTTGTTCAAAGTCGCGGTATTTGAATTTCTGAAATTGCGCGCCGGTGGTAAGGGATGCTGATGACGATGACGACGCACGAGCTCTCGGGGTAGGATCGCTCAATTGGAGTGTACATCGTGTATAACGCCCGCGCCTCGCGTCACCTCGCAACGATATAAAAGACACATAGGATTTTCTTGTCTTATACGAGGGTTGGAGTAACTTTCGAGCGACACCCCACCGAGGATTGTTTTCTTCCTTCAAAATTCATCCGGTTGAACGAAATTACTTCCGGTCTGCTCTTATCGGCCCGTTTTCATGTTATTCCTCGTCGTCCCGTGTATACATGCCGGTGATTGCAGTGCAGGCCCTACAAAAAACATATGGAGCTGGTGGATAACTTTCGCACGCACCGTTATTCCGCAATACTTGGAGCGTGGAAGAAAAAAAAAAAAAAAAGAATTAGCTGACGCAACCGTATATATATATATATACGTGTATGTGTACCTACTATATTTACAATGGCTGTGCACAAGTTACCTCATAATACCAAATATAAGAACAAAAGCCAAGAGGGAGATTAATTAAATTCGTTCTTGGCATCAGCATTTTCGATATATAGTTGTCAAATACTTTGTGTTCACGTGTAGGAAAACTCTTTGCCGTTATCGATGAAAAATGAGAAAACGCGACAACTCAGTGATCCCATACCCATATATAAATATATAAGAACGTGCAACGTGATGTCAGAAGAGCTATACGTAACATAGATACTTACGAGAGTCGCGCGTGGATATACACGTATACGTATATAGGTATATACAAATGCATGAGCAATCAGCACTTTACATCTTGCTCCAACTCTCCCTCTCTTGTAACGCCTACACTGCACAATGCACGTTGTATATCGGTATAGGGGTGCAAATGCATCGCTCCTCCGCTGACTCTTTTGCTTTAAGGTGTACATCCACGGCTGTAGCTTCTTTTTTTTTTTTTTTCCTTTCCCTCTCCCTCGTCCGCTCTTTTGTCGAGATCTCGCCTCTGAGATCTTGATCCTCATCGCCCCGTGCCCCGAGAATAGGTCACTTATAACGAAGAACAACAAAAAGGTGAAAAAAAAGGAAGAATACACGCATTTGTACGCTACACGAGCACTTGCGAAAGTTACCCTGCAACGTGTGTGTATACCTATGGCTACATATAAATATATATATTTTTTTTTATTCATTTGAGAGTAATTTCAACGTCCAGTGTTATTTTAAACCCACGATTGTACAATTACGTATACATTTGAGTAATTAGCTCGTACAATGTACATAGAAAGAAACTGAAATATGGGTGTACACGTATGTGGCCCGTCACACGATTAAACTGTCTATATTGGGCCAGCCAAGAAGAAAAGGGTGAAAAAGTAATGAGTATAGTCGGGCCCTTCAAGCAGAAAAAAACACAAGTAACGTATATAGGAGAGCATCATCTATAGGTACTTGTATATAATTATGATGATGGTGATGATGATGATGATGCTGATGCGAAAAGACGTTCGTACGTCTACGGGTTGTGGTGCAGATGAAAGCGAGCGGCGTCGCGTGAAATGTGCTTATATACTCGAGGTATATAATTATACGTGTATGTGTGTATATGTACCTTTGAACGTCAGCTAATCGTCTAGTATATACTATAGGGAGTAGTACCTACGGAGTCTAGGAAGGAACTTCTGCGCCAGGAAGTCCGTGTATCGAGCAGGCAAAGGGCTTTTTGTTCGCGTGGGACTTGGCCGTTGCTTTATTTATTTTTTTTTTTCGTTTCTTTTCCTCTCTCCTGTCCTTTTATATTTCGGCGCGTTACTTGCCCGTGGGCTGCGCGACTAAGTGTATACCCTCCGATCGTAAAAAGGAAAAAAAAAAAAAAACCGGATTCGGCGCAGAAGGGGAGAGATAAGGCGTCAAAGGCTACTTCCCCCCCCCCCTATATAATGCTAATGGCTCTCCCAATGTTTTATTGCCGTTGTGCGCCGTGCGTTCGTACGTGATGTACATTGTATTGTTTGTACCCTACGTATATGTACAGGTAGACGCTAGTAGATTTATACCATGCACTGTATAACGTAGGTACACGTTTCCGTTTTGGAGAAAGCCAATTAATCGTTGATACATAGGTATAAGGGTTTGTTGCCATGGGTTACGCGTACATATGTATGTATATTGTGGTGGTGATCTTTTGTTTATTCGTACAACTACCACCTGCATTCACTTTTTTTTTTTTTTTTTTTTTGGCAGGTAGATTCATCACGTATAACGAGCACACGATAACGGGTAACAGTTACACCGAAATACCCACTGCAGGTGTTACGTTTTGTATAATTTTATTGCACTAGTTGTCCCTTACACCGTGTAACTTCGCACTATTTGACCGATTGCATCGATCTTCGCTCCAAAATCCAATGAATTTCGAGTATTGTACGTATATATGTATATATATATATATATATATATATACACCCCAGCACACATTACTCGCTTTGGATGACGAATACCTACACGAAGCTTGTAAACAAGCGAGGGAGGAGGAGGAGGACAAGAGGAAGAAGGACCAAGAGGATGGTTGAAGGAGATAAGAGAGTGGTCGAACTGGTGTGTTTTGTACCTATATAACATACACTGTTACCGATACGTTGTAGGTATATACATGTATACACGTGCATGTTACGCGGGTCCGGAGCACGTGTATAGCTCATGTGAAATTGGCCACTAATTGAGCCTCCCGCGGTGATGTACCCCTTCTCATAGCCGCTGCCGTACCGCTTATATACTTACACGTTATGAGCCCGTCGTACGCGAGTGTATACCCATATACATTTATAGCGTATGTGA